TGTCAAGGGCTGATTGAAGGAAGACACCAATCTTCTGATATGGAATGAGAGACGAAAAGTCATGTACAATGCTCCTATCCCAGGGTCAAGAGCAGGAAGACAAAATGTGCAGGAGTATCGTCTGGTTTCCATTAACATTCAGCGACTTACATAGCATGGGAGACTGTCAATGAAAGTGTCAACATGAGGGAGGCTACTGTGTAACTGAAACCATGGGGGAGATGAACGTGAAGGAGGGAAGCTGGATGAATATGGCTACAAGAAATGGAAACATGTCTAGAGCCATTCCTCTGAGATACCACCCAGCCCTTATATGAAGGACAATCCAGTGGAGAAGAGGATCCCATTCTGATCCACCTGGTTCTGAAGTGTCTTGTGCTATGGGTAGTGTTAACATTCCCCATCTTTGTCTTCCAGGAGCACAGGAATGTGGAGCAGAGCTCTCTGTAATCAGATTTGGAGAGGTAGAAAGAGAACTTATTGCTTCCTGCATGGACCCAGGGAAAAGGCTTGTTCGGCCCCTTTGCACATACAAGTATGTGCACCTTGGCTAATTGGTTAATACTGAACATGAGAACATACGGGGTTAGACCAACGGTCCATCCAGCCCAGTCTCTTGTCTGCTGGCCAATATCAGATGCCCCAGAGGGAGGGAACACAACAGGTAATCCTCACATGTTCCCTCCCCTGTCACCCACCTCCAGAGAAACAGAGGCTAGAGACACCATTCCTACCCATCCTGGCTAATAGCCATTGATGGACCTAACCCCCATGAATCTATCTAGCTCTTTTTTGGCCTTAACAAAGATGCTAATTACCTTAACCATTACAAAGACAGCTTCCCCACTTATCACCCTTGATTAGCCATTCATTTACTCATAAATAGCTATTTCCTCCTTCCCTCTCCCTCTCCCCACCTTTTGTACTAAATCTGATTTGTCAGTTTAATAATATGTTCACTTTTTCATTGTATTCTTTTGGTATATAAGGTCATGCCAATTCTCTTCCAGAATATGATCTGAGGAAGTGGGTCTGGCCCACGACAGTTCATCACCTTTTAAACCATCTTGTTAGTCTATAAAGTGTTACATAGTTTTTCCTTTTGATTTAGCAATATCAGACTAACACTGCTACCTCTCTATTACTTTTTTGAACCCTGTTAAAGTCCTGGTCTTCACCACATCCTCTGGTCTTGAGTTTCACAAGTTGACTGTGCACTGAGTGAAGAAAAACTACCTTTGTTTGTTTTAAGCTTGCTGAGTATTAATTTCATTTGGTGACCCCTAGTTCTTATGCTGTGGGAATAAGTAAAACATTTTTCTTTATTCACTTTTCCCACATCAGCCATGATTTTATAGACCTCTATCATATCCTCCCTTAGTCTCTTCTTTTCTAAGCTGAAAAGTCCGAGTCTTTTTAATTTCTCTTCATATGGGACCGCTCCAAACAACTCATCATTTTTGTTGCCCTTTTCTGAACCTTTTTCAATGCCAGTATATCTTTTTTGAGATGAGGCGACCACATTTGTAACGCAGTATTAGTGGATGCGACAAATTACTGGGCTGAATAGAGCGGTAACTGAGTTAAATTTCATGGCCTGTGATACAGAGGAGATCTGATTAGATGATCAAATGGCCTTAAATTCAATGAATAGCCATATTTGCACATTGGAAAAATGTAAATATCAAAAAGAGGAAAGAAAAAATTTAGGGGGTTCCAACAATAGTTATGGGAAGAGAGAGAGCAGAGCAGAAATTAGGTAGAATGGATTTAGTAATCATTAGATCTGTTGAATCATTTCCCATCTACATTGGAGGAAATACTGGAGAAGACACCTGGCCAATTTACTGGTAGCCATTTTATTGGAGGAACTGTCAATGAACTGATCCCAACTTTTATCAATTTCTAAATAATTGATCTTAATACCAATCAATTCTGTGAAAGTTCAGCCGATTATTTAAAGTTCACCAGTCGCCTAAGTCACGTGGTGTTGTTTCTGCTCCAGGATTATATAGCCTGACCTGCATAAACTACTTCCACCTGAAAGTAATTTCATTTAGTCATCTCTTTTCTTTATTTAAATGACTCATTGCTACAGTGCGGTAACTTTGTCTTCTGTGAAAATTCACCTAGGTAGTACAAATATGCACAAAAAGCAAATGTAATACTATGCAAATGCGCCCAGACAGAAACAAGTCTCACGTTTGCAAAAAGAACTGCAAAATAACTTCTCACTATTCACTCAGGATATGGCTACACTGCCGCTTTTTTAGATCCTTTTGTCAGAAGAGGCTTTTCCGACATTTGGCCCATCTAGACTGAGCCAAATGTTGAAAAAACCCCTCTTTTGGAAGCCCCCTTATTCTTGTGGAACAATGAATACAGGGGCTTCCAAAAGAGTGCGTTTGGTATCCCAGAAAAAAAAGTGGAAGAGCAAATGCGTCCCTGGATCTGAAAGAGTTTTTCTGGGATACCTCCGATATCCCAGAAGAACTCTTGTAGTCTAGCCATACCCTTAGTTCTGCCAGAAACCCTTTTGTGTGAAAAAATCCAGCATTACATGCAATGGGACAGATTAGCTAACCAGTGTTTTGTATCTTCTTTTCACTTTCCAATTCCTACATTTTCTCTCTCTCTTTTTCCTGCCACACAACAGAATGACGTCATCAAGCTCTCTGGCCATGAAAGCCCCCAAAGGGTGTGGGGGGGATTGGCGATCATAGCGAACAGTGGGCACAGTCCCTTAGTAACTCATTAAAAGCATTAGTGCATAGCAGAGTGATGCAAACAAATTTAACTAGGCACTTTACAAATCTAAACAGCTCCTTTCCCCCTTCTTCTTCTTCTTTTTTTTTTTTTTTTTTGCAACACCACAGATTAAACAAATTGACTTCACTACTTTTTATATGGACATGTCAGTCTCCATAAAACTAACTGCATGAAGTGCTGGCAAAGAAAATGGAATGAAGGGTCAAGCACCAATTTCCAAACCTACTCTTAAGGAAAACTGACAGATTCTAGGACAGGCCCAGAGTTGGGACCTCCAGCCATAGCTGAGGTGCAGAACTGGAGGGACGTGTGGGATGGAGAATAGAACCTTAACTATAGACATTTTTTTTTCTCTACTCTGCATTCACTCCCTCTCAGGAGTGATTCAGGAGCAGCACCCCAAAATGAGTAGGCTTCTAGTGCCAATGGGACATATTGTAAAGGAATAGAAAGGTGACAAAGGTGACAGCAATGAGCTTGATTTTTCCATGTGGTTCCACTCTTGGGGCAGGTACATTAGAGTTCAGTGACTCAATAAACTCATTCTAACACTCTGCGTGCTACTTTTCGGCAGCCTTTTGTACTCGCAATGACCTCCAAGTGCTGTAGGAAGCCAGCGGAAAACTTTCCATTGCACAATCACTTTGTCACGTTAGCCTGAGCCGGGTAGGCTTACACTGAAGGAGTTGCTGCTGCAGTAGCAAACTAGTGGCAGATCTCAACTTTCAGAAGCACTGAAGAGACTTACATCACTTTGTCACGTTAGCCTGAGCCGGGCAGGCTTACACTGAAAGAGTTGCTGCTGCAGTAGCAAAATAGTGGCAGATCTCAACTTTCAGAATCACTGAACAGACTTACTAAAATATATATATATATTTTTTAAACCGAGCACTTTTGTCTCACAGAGAAGCTTCCCCAAGATGTTTTAGTTCCTCATCCGGCCAGCCAGATCATTTTATTGAGCTCACCATAACTCAGCATGGGACAGGTGACTGGGGTGTATGTGTGTCCTGCCTACACACATCACATGACACTGTGGCATAAGCCAATTAGGGTTGCCAGGTGTCCGGTATTGAACCGGACTGTTCAGTATTTTCACCTCCTGTCTGGTAAAAAAATTCAGAAAATACTGGACATCTAAAATGTTCGGTAATTTCTGATTTTTTTCCTGGCCAGGAGGCGAAAATCCCGGGCTGTCCGGCTCAATACGGAGGCAGCCTGGCAACCCTAGTGCTTACCGGATTCCACAGGGGAGCCGTCCGGCCCGGCGCAGAGAGGCAGCCTGTTAGGGCCAAAAAGCCTCACTGCATGTTTCTTAAATGGGCCACACTTTTTTCTCAGACTCCTTTTTAATTTTTTTTTGTATTTTTTCTGAAACCATCTGGCAACCCTAAAGCCAATAGAGGCTATTTTTTCTGAAACCATCTGGCAACCTTAAAGCCAATAGATGGGCAGGGAACTGCTGCTATATGGTGAGTGCAGAGTGGGCCACCCCCAAAGAGTCTCCTATACCCCTTGCCAGGGTTTGAACATCCCCAAATCACATGCTGTGGGATTAGGATCCAACTCTTCTCTGGTCCTCCATGCCAAAGGGCTTGAGTGGATTTTGTGGGCCTCTAATATCTTATAGTTGCACAAATCCCTGGACTAGAGTGTGTGTCCCTCCCCTACAGTCCCATGAGTCTTCTTCTGTTGTGAACACAATGCAGGTGAAAGGGTGAGGTGGAAAGGCCTAAAGACTTGAGGTCCCTAGTCCATCCACCGCATGGGTGTAGAGGAGCTGCACATTCCCACCAGCGAGCTCTGGCCCTGGGCACTTACTACCAATCAGATGTGCACGCGCCTCACAGCCAACCCCCTTGATGGCAGTCTCAGAGCAGGGTGTAGGGGTGTGAAGAATTCCCCAGTGGTACTTTCCCTGCTCCAAAGAGGGATGTTACTAGTACCTGTTATTTCATTTCTGCTGCTGTTGGTGATTAGTGAAGTTTCCCAGGACAATAAAAATGGCCGTGGATGGCTAATGCCATCTTGGACTTACCCCACTGAGTTGTACTGTTACTATTCTGATTGTTTCTGTGGTTGCTATGGCGATGTGCTTACACCCCCCATGACTTAGCACTCCAAGGACAGACTGCTCCCGATCCACTCCCATAGAGAGTCAACCAGGTCACAGTGCCAAAAGGGGTCCAAGAACAACTGGTCTCACCCACGTCATATAGCGAACTGGACATTTTTTCCTCCACTGGAACACAGATGAGTATTTCAACAATTAGACCAAACTGGGAGGAACTGCCCAAGGAAACAGCAAAGCAGGCTTAAGAAATCAGATACCCTACATCTCCAACCTATCCACTGCACGGGATCATTATCTAGGCGCGGGCTCAGCAGGCAGCACAAATCAAGATCAGATAACATAGAGGCTGAGCAATAAGAGATCCGCCCCAGGAAATAATAAATGACCACAAAGCCAGGAAGCATCCAGTAACCTAATTGCCAAGACCTGTCTGGATGACAGTCCCTACAGGATTGTCAGCCCACCTAGGTCACAAAGGCAAGCAGCACAGAATTCATAATCTCTGCAAACAACCAGTCCAAGAGAGATGCCTCAGGTAAGGCCAGAACGGACCTCGAGAGGTCATCGAGTCCAGTCCCCTGCCCTCATGGCAGGACCAAATACTGTCTAGACCATCCCTGATAGACATTTATCTAACCTACTCTTAAATATCTCCACAGATGGAGATTCCACAACCTCCCTGGGCAATTTATTCCAGTGTTTGACTATCCTGACAGTTAAGAACTTTTTCCTAATGTCCAACCTAAACGTCCCTTGCTGCAGTTTAAGCCCATTGCTGCTGCTTCTATCCTCAGAGGCCAAGATGAATAAGTTTTCTCCCTGCTCCTCATGACACCCTTTTAGATACCTGAAAACGGCTATCATGTCCCCCCTCAATCTTCTCTTTTCTAAACTAAACAAACCCAATTCTTTCAGCCTTCCTTCATAGGTCATGTTCTCTAGACCTTTAATGATTCTTGTTGCTCTTCTCTGGACCCTCTCCAATTTCTCCACATTCTTCTTGAAATGCGGTGCCCAGAACTAGACACAATACTCCAACTGAGGCCTAACCAGCGCAGAGTAGAGCGGAAGAATGACATCTCATGTCTTGCTTACAACACACCTGTTAGTGAATCCCAGAATCATGTTTGCTTTTTTGCAACAGCATCACCCTGCTGACTCATATTCAGTTTGTGGTCCACTATAACCCCTAGATCCCTTTCTGCCGTGCTCCTTTCTAGACAGTTGCTTCCCATTCTGTATGTGTGAAACTGATTGTTCCTTCCTATTCACATCCATTCGTCCAGCAGTAGAAACCAGAGCCAATGCTGAGAGATTTTATGCTCATTTACAGACTAACAGACTAACAGTGTCACAAAGGAGCTCACTGATTTTGTCAACGATGGTGGTGAAATACCTTTGGCTGGTCATGTTCGGAGATTTCAACATTCACGTTGACAAGGACACAGATGCAAAAACCCAGCTCATCACTTGCCTCTTTGCCCAAGCCACCTCTGGTCCAACCCACACAGCTGGCCACACCTGAAACTGGGTCTTTGGAGGATGTCAGTATCAAAGACATCACAACCCAGCTGCTCTTTAGAGCAGACCATCACTTCCACCACCAGGCAACAAGACAGGCTCATGACCTTCCTGATCCAACCACAAAGACTCAAACTCCACCAAGTTCCAAAGCCTGCTAAAAAACAGCAACAATCCATCAACAGGAGGATAACTCTAGCATACAATAATGATTCATAGGATCCTTGTCTTGGCCATGGACATACTGGTCTCCAAATAGACACTTCCTTTTTATCCTCTCTTTCTCGCATAGCAGCACTTGTGAGCATCACTTGCTACCATCTCTCATTGGCTAAGAGACTCCTTCCCATGCCGGTGGATGATGACATGGTCTCAGGGCACATCTAGGCTGCACTCTAAAATTGGAATAAGATATGCAATTTGTGCTACACAAATTGTGTATCTTAGTTTGATTTTATTTCAAAATAGGCTATTTCAAAATTGGGTTCATCTACGTGCCGCCAAGTTTCAAAATAAAACACTATTTTGAGACATCCCTTATTCCTTGTAGAATGAAGTTTACAGGGATGCCAAAATAGAACATCTGTTATTTCAAAAATTATCCTTGGACGTGGGGTGGGGTAGCTATTTTGGGATACTTCCGGTATCCTGAAATAGCACTGCAGTCTAGATGTACCCTCAGTGACACACACTTTTGATCTGGAAGCATGTGAGCAATGTGAGATACCATATACGCAGAGCCATGGCAATGTCTCTTCCCTGCCTTCACGCCACTCAATAGCCTAGGCTCTGCATATCCAAGTGACCTACTCAAGCTCCAGGATGAAGACCATAATTGATGACTCTTCTCTGGCACAATGGAACTTTCTGCCATAAGGGTAAAGCTCACCTGTGCAGAAATTGAACTGTCTTGGGGGAGGGCCCCAGATTTTGGAATCAATTCTTCCAATCAAAGCACAATCACAAAGCAGTGAGGCTTTCCACTCCAAGTTCAAGGTGCAGGTCTTCAACTTGCCTTCTCTACCATAAATTCGGAGCAGCGGGCATATTTAAAAAGACAACAACAAGAGCCGACACTAAAACAAAACCCTGCACAAACAATTCTCTCCATGGGTTGAAGCTGGGAGAGACAAAGGACCACAGGTGGAAACGTAATTAAATCAATTAATGACTAGCCTACAGAACAGAATGTAGAATGCTAACCTAAAGAGGCATTTCTTGGCTGCATTTTATCTCTATAAATTACTTGGATGGCTCAGAAGCCAGCGTGGAGTGAGGTAGTGGCAGCATGAAGGAAAAAGCATGAATCCTTCTGTTAGGGAATCTGATTGGAATAGAAGGTTGATGAATTAAACATTGGTGAATACTGTCACTTTATTATCTAGAGCAAAGGCTTTCTGGGACAGAAACTCCTGAGAGCAAAAGTTGTAATTGAATTTCTTGGAGTATAAACTTAATTGGGAGTGAATGTGAAAGATAGGAATTGAAGTGGCTTTGCTAACAGCTTCTACGGACTGCTAAAGAGCGTGAGTCAGGAGTGAAGTGATTTGTTGAAGGCGTAATGGAAAGATTGTAGAAGGGAAGTCAGCTAGAGAAATGTCCGTGGTAGTGAGATGATGACAGAGAGGGTCTGATAAAAAGGTGCCTGAGCTAATTGGGAGCTAAATGCTGAGCAGATAAAGCCAGGAAAAGTGGATAAGATAGTAGTTCAGAGTTAAAAACAATTCATTGTATATGCATGTCAGGTTCTCTCACAGCTTTCCTCAGCTCCAATCTTTTTTCCAGTCTCTCAGCTGTTAGGAAGTACCATGTCACCCCTACTAATAGGTCTAAGAAAACCCTCGCTGTGCAATCCTAAAGTCACTTTCGAGTCAAGTCCCAAGTCGAGTCTCGCGTCCCTAAAGTCACTTTCGAGTCAAGTCCCAAGTCGAGTCTCGCGTCCCTAAAGTCACTTTCGAGTCAAGTCCCAAGTCGAGTCTCGCGTCCCTAAAGTCACTTTCGGGTCAAGTCCCAAGTCGAGTCTCGAGTCTTAATTTAAAAAATGTCAAGTCACTTTTGTACAAGCCATCAATATCGGCATTTTTGGACAATTTTTTCACCACGTCGATTTAACAAAATTAGCAAGTCTCAAGCCGAGTCTCAAGTCACAAACAATGAACCCGAGTCGAGTCTCAAGTAGAGTCACCTCAGCGACTTAAGTCGGACTTGAGTTCAAGCTGTGGACTCGAGTCAACAACTCTGCAGGATTTCCTACTAGGAAGACAGTCTAGGTCAGTCCAGGTATAACCCACACACCTCCTGGGTGTGGTGCACTGTCCCATGTAATGCCACTTAGGCCACTTACAGAGCGAGAGAATGAGCCTGCTCTATAGCCTTAGCTGAGAGCCAGCCGGCTTGTAGCTCAAGCTGTAGAGCAGGGGTCTCCAACCTTTTTAAGCATGAGATCACTTTTTTGAATTTATGTGCAATCCAGGATCTACCTCAAACCCGAACACCCTTGCTCCGCCTCCTTTGTGCCCCTTCTCCAAGGCCCCGACCTTTCTCACTCCATCCTCCCTCCCTCCTCCATCTTCCTTCCCTTTTACCAGGCAGGGGCAGAGGGTTGGGGTGCAGGTTCTGGTCTTGGGCTAAAGGATTTGGAGTGTGAGGGGCTCTGAGCTAAGCCTGGGGCAGAGGTTCAGGGTACAAACTCTAAGGGAGTTTGGGTCGGGAGGGGAGGGGAGCTGAGGGCTAGGGGAGGGGCTTAAGGTGCAGAATGGGGGGGTTCATGACTGGGGCAGGGGTTCAGGATGCAGTTGGACACTGCTTACCTCAGGTGGTGCAGTGGGGCTAAGGTAGGTTCACCCCTGCCCTGGCACTACAGCACTCTCAAAAGGAGTCAGCAAACATCCTCCATCCCAAGCGCTGTTGTGCCCCCCTTCATTCTGTGGGGACAGACTACAGGGTGGGAGAGGTGGCACCCTGACATCAGTGCCCTCCTCTTCCCTCTCCTGCCCAGCAAGCGGGGGGGGGGCACGGTAGTGGGGGGAGGGGCAGCTGAAGTGCTGGCACTTGGTAGCCTCTTGGCCAAACCAGTGAAGATCCCCTGTCAGAGGCTCCAAGATCTTCCAGTAGATCCCAATCTACTGGTCAGTGACCACTGCTGTAGAGGCTCATGGACTAAGCTCAGAGGTCCCAGGTTTGGTTCTGCTGCTGGCATTATAATGGCTCTAAGTATGTTTTTCTCTTCTTACTCCTCCTGGTCCTTTCTGTAATAGCCTCTGAATAACAGCAGAAGTCCTGTCTTAACTGCTGTCTCTGTTGTTTCCCCACCATTGTATTCCCCTTAGCTGAAATATATTTCTCCATACAGTTGCACCCACATTAATGGTACTTTTTACTACTTATTCTTCCAGATTCTTTGGATTATATCGAGTCCTTTACTAACTTTATAGCTGGAATTTTATCACCAGGGAGTTGTAATACTCTTAGGAACCACCAGGTAATATTTGCAGATAATTAAGCAGAACTTGTAAAAGTGAGTATGTAAGTCAGTGGTTCTCAGCCTGTGGTCCACTTGCTGCCCAATCAGCACACAGCTGCAGCCCATGTGACATCCTCAGAGCCATACAGGTACAGGTTGAACCTCTCTTGTCAAGCACCTTCTGGACCTGACTGGGGCTGAACCAGAGAATTTGCTGGACTGCGGAAAGTCAGTATTGTCTAGCAGCATTACCAACACTCCCACTGCTTACTGGGCTCTTAGAAGGCAGGTAAATTAGAGCTAAATAATAGCACAGAACACTGAGGTCCAGGTGGCTGTAAACAAACTTTATGGGCTTCAGAAAACTTGACATTATGAGGTTTCAGAAAACTGTAAACAAACTTTATGGGGCTTTAGGAAACTTGACCACACCCATGATACATGGACATCTGCTTAACTACAATCATGCCAGATCACAGCTGTTGCCAGACTAGAGAGTGCTGGACTAGAGCGGTTGCCAGACCAGAGAGTGGCAGGCCAGAGTGATTCAACCTCTCTGTGACCCACATAACACACAGAGAGCTGCATATGTGACCCACAATAATAAAAAGGTTGGAAATCATATGCAGAGATAGTTAGATCTTGGAAAAAATGCTTAGGGTTAGATATGGTTAGAAGTTATTTTCAGAAGCTATGCCTCCTACCAGTAAAACTGTTTCTATCTCTGACTGAATCATTCCTTAGGTATAGCTGATGTAAGCAAAACAAGAAAGTATGTTGGCGTTGAAGACAGATTCTTATTGGTAAATATTAGTAAACATCGATTTCGCTGTACAGCTACAATTTGACAAAAAGTATTTCCATCAATAATAATCAAAATGTACAGACAGGCAAAGTACAGCCTCTCTCCGAGTTATGAACGAGTTACGGACCAAACACTTGCCCGTAACTTGATCCGTTCGTAACTCAGACCCTATTGAGTTATATGTGACCGCGCTGTTCGTAAGCACGGGTCACATTCATAACTCGGGGACCGTCTTTACGACCGCTCCATGGGAGCTTTGGTCGTAAGTGTGAACGGTCATAACTCAACTGTTGTCAACTCGGGGAGCGGCTGTATTAAAATTGTGCTGGAGAACTTATTACGGTTCAATCTAAGGCTGTTTACTTCGTATATTTTGACATGAGATATCGACAGCTTGTGCTTTGACAGTTTTAAACCTTTAAATTTTTGAAGACCAAAGTCTATTTCCACTAAATAATTATTGTCCGATTCCCACTGAGAATTTACCCAACTATGAACATTTAAAATCAACAAGCATGTAAAAGTATGTTTAAAGAACTAAACATCAATAGTATCTGTCAAAATTATACAAAAATAAAAATCAGATTCTGCCAAGCTTAATTATATGGAATCAAAACATTGCAGGGCATACAGACATCTTCAATTGTCATTGATTTTTTAAAATCATTTGGGTCTCCACTAATCATTATCACAACCATGCTTCATGGCACTGACCTTAACCAAACACACAGTTCCTTGCTACATCCCTGCTTTGGTGAAATTTTAAGCTGTTTATCTGCTTTCTCTATCCTTCCCATACAGTTTTGTGTCACTAATGGACAAGATCTCTGCTCTTTCAATAAATATACATAACTCCCCCCCATCTGAAAACTGCACGTTTGCTTCATATTAAATTACCTACCCCATAAAACTTCAAGCCAAGTTTATCCTGGGTTTGAAGGGATTTAATGGCAACTAGCCCCATAAAACTTCAAGCCAAGTTTATCCTGGGTTTAAAGGGATTTAATGGCAACTAGCTAACAGCACCTCAATTTTGATGCGCGTTTTTACACTCTAGCGCAACGAAATAATAAATAATAATATTAACAAGTGCAAAGTCACGAGTGCTTACTAACTGGAAGAATAACAATTCCCTCCTCCCCCAATGAGGTCAGTGGGATTTGAATCCTGGACTTTCATATCCAGAAGCACACATCTACCACTTGATCCAAAGGAGAAACGCAAGTTGCTGGAGGTATACCTAGGCTGCTCTATTTCATGGTGGCTAACCATTGAATGGCAGCGCATAGCCCAGTTTACAGGCATGTTCTAGTGGCTCCATACAAATGCATTTAACAAAACAATGGACATTCCGATTGCCAAAGTTCCCAAGAAATCTGACAAATGCAACGTAACAGGCTTTGTTACAAACAAATCCCACAGCTCTAAGGCCATAACACAGGTTAAGCACCCAGAGCTACCTAGCTCCTCAACTATACTGTGCAGTGTAGGAGCAGCAGGTCACAGGTTTGGGTGCTGTGCTGATCCAGGATAGATGGGACTATACAAATCAGCATTCATCTATAGATCTGGGGTCTGAGTCTGCACTGCCTGGAGCCTGCGGTAGTCATTGACATCTGTGCAACAAGAGGGTTTCCCTTTGTGTTACAGCAGGTTGCAAATTTTCAATTGAATTGTTTTTTCTAAAAATTTACCTTCCCCCCAAAATAAAAATGTTACTAAAGAATGTGTTTAATATTTTTGACTTTCTCTATGAGAATGAAATATTTTGTGGGCTCACTTGCCCTTTCTTTCCTCTTCCATCTCATCCCTTTCCCTTGCTCCCCCCCCTTCCCATTCAAGTGGCAAAATAAAAAGGGGGCTATGAAGAGTTCTTAGCATCATCAGCAACACCTACCCTCAAAATGATCGTTTTTTAAATCAACATTTTTTTAAGTGAAAAAAGGAGGAAGTTCTCAAATATATGAAAAATTGTCCCTTTTTGGAAAGTTGGGATTGAAAATGATAGCGCAAAATAAATACAATACAAATCTTTAACCATGTTTTGACCGGCCGCCGCCTGGGAGCAAGCAGTGCAAGCAGCCGTTTGGGCCCCACACTCTTCATGCAGCACCCCCGTGCTGCACGGGGAGGGCGGACCCCAAACAGCTACTTGCACCCATGCAGCAGCCCAGCTGAGCGGTGCAGAAGTCAGCCAAACCCCACAGCAGGAGACAACAGCGCTGCCCAGAGGGAACAGCCAGTGTTTCAGCGTTACAGAGTCACAGACATTGGGCTACTGTATCTATGATAAGTGATGTTATTCCAAAATTACAAAGAGCATGTCTACACAAAAAGCCATTATTTTGAAATAATGGAGAGCTGGAGGACTTCTTAATCTGACTCCTGTAATCGTCATTTCACAAGGAGTATGGGAAGTAAAGAAAGAATGTTCTTCCTTTGACTTCGTGCTGTGTAGACAGTGCCAAAAGCTGAATTAAGCTATTTCGACTTCAGCTACGCAGCTGAAGATGCGTAGCTTCATTTGACTTTTGCCCTGCAGTGTGGACATGCCTGTCAGGTGTTTGTGGGGACAGGCACTAACAGTAACTGACTCATATCTGAAGGGTCTTCTCACATAATATTCAACTTGGCACCGTTCTCCCCTGCATAGTGAAGCTAGATAATGCTATGTGGGATGACTCAGCTCTGCAGTACAAACAGCAAGTGCAGGGAGAGGACGCCATTTCCAGAGAAGTGCCATGTTGCAGGTGTGTTATGACAGACGCAGTTCCTTTCCATCAATCATTCTATGCTTGTTTTAAAGCGCTGAGTAAGAAACCCAAAATAGCATGATGTGTGGCATGAAGACAGGCTCCCAGGATACGTGGGCTGAATGCATTAAAAATAGCTTCTGGCACATACCAGATCCAAAGGGGTGACACACTTTTTGCTGGTGTATCTATACTGGCAACCCGCCTCTGCGTGGAGACCCAGTTTACACTGGCTCTTCTGCCTACAGAGTCAAACCACCTCCCTGAACGACAAAACCTAGACTGGCAAATGGACTTCTTTGCTGGAATAGCTGCGCTGACACAGGAGATTGCTCCACCTTCGTGTGCATCCCAAATTGCCATCCACATCCAGTTGCAATCTGCAAAAATGGTCCATGGACAGACTTGCAGGGCCTCTGAGGAGGGCAGAGGGGGCGTGGCTCTGAGACTCTAGAAGGGGTGGAGCCTTAGGTGGAAGGGATGGGGATGAGGCTAGCCTCCACCAGGGAGCTTCAGCACTGCTTGGAGCACACCACACCCCCCCACCCCCCAGGCCGTCCTCAGCACTGCTCAGAGCATGTGGTGTGGAGCTCCAGCGGTGATTTAAAGAGGCCAGGGCTCCTTCCTCCATGGCTGCTGCAGTAGCAGTGGTGACAGCTGGGAGACTCGGGCCCTTTTGAATCACTGAGACCTGGGGCAGTTGCCCCTTTGACCTGTCCCCCTCACCTCCTTAGGCAGGCCTGTCCATGGATATCTGCAACTGTAGATGCAGATAAAAAGCAGAGAGCCACAGGTTTGCAAGGCTCCAGCCTTAGCTATAGCGATGTCGGCAATGGGGATTTTTTTTCATGCTCTGGATCATCACATCTATGCCAGCAAATCTTTTCAGGGCAGACCTGCCTCTGGCCACGTAGGGTGGGATCCACAAAGTGTTGCATTGCAACACTCAGATTTACAGAATCTAATTTTAGGTCTCTAGAAAATCCCAGGAACGCATTGCAAGCCGCGCAGCCTGAGTTAAGCTCTTTGGCTCCTGGACAGTGGCTGGAGAGAGAGAGAGGTGCCTAGCAATGTGATCCACACAAACCAGCACACGAGGAGAGGAGTGGCCTGAGGCAGCCTCTGGGAGATGAAGTCTAGGTTGCAGGAAGGTGCCTAGCTTTGCTTAGTGATCCACAAATGGGGGACCTACCACCGGGAGTTAGGTGGCTCAGGTGCCGAAAGGGTTTTCTTTTAGTGATCCACAAAGGAGACAGGCACCTGCCTTGCTCCACAAAAAAACAGCAGGAGGTTGTGGTGGCCACCTTATATCTTTGAGCCAGTGGGTAGCACATTTAGCTGTGATGTGGGAGACCCACGTTCAATTCCCACCTCTCTGCCAGCAGGGGGGGATAGCACTTGAATGGGGGGTGGGAGTCTCCTACTTCTCAGAAGAGGCTCACTCACTATATGCATTGAGATATGGGATATTCTGTGGGGGGCACTCCTCAATCTCTCCTGACGCTGCAAAGGAAGGAACACAGGATTGGAGAAGGGGGAGTGGACCTAGGGTGTCCCATCTTCCAGGTGGGTGCTCTTCCCATTCAACGAGCGTCTTTCCCTCTTTCTGGCCTAGCGGCTAAGTATTCATCCACTGTGGTGCAGCCATTGGCCCGGAGAGATGGAGAATGATAAAGCTGGGTTGAGAAGTCCCCTCATAGGCCGTTTGAAAATGTTATGAATTCTCATTTTGTTTGTGCCTTGAGCAGCATTGGTCTGGTTGTGTAGATACTCTTGCCAAATAGGCATCTGGGGTATTCTTTGACCCAGTCTCAGCTCTCCATTCCCATCCCTTCTTGTTTGCCACCCACTCTGCCAGCCCACCCATGCCCTGGTCCAATGCCCTTCAGTCATGGATAATTCCCAGAATTCTTTGCATCAGCTCCAGTAAGTCGTCAAAGAGGACACAGCTGGTACAAAGCATTCTGAAGGGCATATGAACATCAGGAGCAACTGTGACTGTTGGTGTGATCAAAAGAATGAAGGGGGGACTCTGTTCTGTTTCTTTTCTTTGTCTTTTGAAAATGACCAATGTAATTATGTGGAGACATAAAAGGAGGAAGAAACAGCCTTGCCACATGTGGGTGAAGATAAAGACGCAAGAGATAATGGGCGAGGCTCGGGGGCAGGAGCTCATTGGGGACTACACGCTGGAGGAGGGGTGCAGAAGCAGAGGAAGTAGGATGCAAGGATAGGAGGAATTTGAGAGCTGGCAACCAGTATAGAAAATTTCAGCCCAGAGGTTTAAAATTTGGCAAAGTTATACCCAATCAAACCTAGGGGCTTATAATCAAAAGTGCCAGGCAACCTGTGCTGCCCTATCATTAGAGCCCCGCAAATCCATGGATATCCAATTTATATCCGCAGGTGCCTGCATCTGCGCCTGACCCCCCCCCCCCTCCTGTGCATGAGGCAGCTGGCTCCTGACTCCCATGATGCTTACAGAGTAACCGGTTACCAGTTCACACGCCTAGTGGCATGAAACTGCATATACCCTACACACTACCACCAGTGTACACATGCCCCTAGCAATCACTGTATAGGAATAAGAGCTTGTCTAGGCCTTAAAAGTGCACCAGAGTAACTAAACTGACTTCACACTCAATCTAATTAAACTAGAGGAAACTCCTAATGTTGAAGTACTTAAACCAAGGTGACTGTTGCATATATAGATTTTACATAACTTGGTAAGCTACCAACATAAGCTAAACAGAAATAAGTGAGGGTAAAATTCATTTAAGTGCCTCTTCATTGGGGTTTAATTAGACCCATTACTATTAATTAATTTAGTTATGGTAGTGCATTTTTCTAGCATAGTTTATGTCCACGTGGCAATGGATGAGTGTGATATGCAGCTCTTGTGGACATTTGCATGCTAGCTGTGATCTATCTAGCTTGCTAAAAATAGTCGTGAGGAGGATACAGCCGTGTGGGCTGTGCAACATGCCCCTGGGTACGTACACACGCTGCTTGACTGTGCGGATGCCTGTGCCACCACGCCCTCATGGCTATTTTTAGCAAGCGAGCAAGGTGAAAGCTAGCACAGGTGCTGCAAATCATACTCACAACAGAGTGTAGATGCAGCCACGGACGAGGCTTTAGTTGGCTAGGTTGAC